GTTGAGCTTGATGTGTATGTTGACAAGGTGCCTACCTGTCTATTACCCACTACATCGTTCATACTGGCTCCAGGAGACAGTTGGTCGTTGCTGGAGGGGACGGGGTGCACGGTTCTTGTGGCCGTGCTAGGCTCAAAGAGCGGTTCCATGCACTCAGTGTGGAGCGGACTACGGTCCAGCCACCGCCTTGTGTGCGGTTGATTCCCCAAATACAGCGTGCTTGTGTTTGCCTGTGAAGGAGTGTGGGCCGGCTCCGTTGATAAAACGTGGTTCAAATCCGCATGCCTCCCGGTCTTATTCCTTCGGGTTTACACTGGAGATGGGGTATGTGGTTGGAGCTGTGGGTGGTGCAGCGCAAGCCATCCATGGTCTCTCTGTAGGCGCAGGCGTCCTGTGGCTTGCCACAGTGACAGGCAAATCCGAAACCGGATGCCGCCAACCATATGTGTATATATATGTATATGTATATATGTATATGTATGTATGTATGTATATATATATACATGATGTTGCATTCTTGATGCTTCTTCACCGCAGTTGGGCTAAACCAACTTACACTTAAACTAGGTCTCTTTAAGCTGCATAAATTTCATTCCAGTTTATTTGGTTAGTTTTCCCTATCTGAATAGTCTTCTATTAGCTGGCCACATCGCTTACGCTAATTGCGCTTATCCTCGGTAATGTTATTGCGTTTGTAGCATTTTTGAGTAACTTGTGGACATTTTTTCCTTATCACGGATTCATTGCTAACCAACTTACTTCATATGCTAACTTAGCGAAGAGTTATGCCACCCACCGTATCTGTATGCATTATTGGATTTATGTTATTTCATTTTGTCGTTTCAAGTGATTGGCTGTTGCGTGCTATCCCCGGTGTGGCTGCGCTTGATGTGCATGTTGACAAGGTGCCTACCTGTCTATTACCCACTACCTCGTCCATACTGGCTCCAGGAGACAGTTGGTCGTTGCTGGGGGGGACGGGGTGCACGGTCCTTGTGGCCGTGCTAGGCTCGAAGAGTGGTTCCATGCACTCAGTGTGGAACGGACTACGGTCCAGCCACCGCCTTGTGTGCGCTTGATTCCCCAAATACAGTGTGCTTGTGTTTGCCTGTGAAGGAGTGTGGGCCGGCTCCGTTGATGAAACGTGGTTCCCATCCACATGCCTCCCGGTCTTATTCCTTCGGGTTTACACTGGATATGGGGTGTGTGGTTGGAGCTGTGGGTGGTGCAGCGCAAGCCACCCATGGTCCCTCTGTAGGCGCAGGCGTCCTGTGGCTTGCCACAGTGACAGGCAAATCCGAAACCGGATGCCGCCAACCATGTATGTATGTGTGCCCCATGCTGAGGCTGA